AATATTTCTATACAATAGATGCATAAGTCCTAGATGATGAACACTTAATTTGAGGAATTACAATAAAGCAGATTCTGGCCTAGTTTTTAAAAATTGAGCAACCTTAAGTTTGTCCTAGAGTTTGCTTATCTGCACACCACTGGCATTTCTCTTGTTTTTCCCCTTAATCTTTGTTCATCTGTCAGCTGTTAAGGGTAGGGTGGCACTTGGATAAAGAGTCCATCTACTCTGAACTGGCATTCATTTGCTGTATGGCTTCTAGGCTTAGCCTAGCTCCCATTTAGAATAGAATTTTAGAACTTAGAATCACATGCTCGTATACACATGATGTTACAAGTCCTGAAGGGACCTTAGAGATCCTCTGACCCTCTCATTTTCCAGATTAGAAGTGACTTGTTCAGGATCACAGCCTTGGTTAGTAGAAATCAACCCAGTTTTCTCCATTTCTAGTGGGTTTTTTTTTTTCATTACACTACACTATTGCTTAACCAACTACTGTACTAAAGTTTAGTACCATCTTTTACACTCCTCCTTTCCTATCTTTCTCTACACCCTCCACTCATCCCCCAGCATAATCATCTTTTAAGTATGTTTTCCTGATAGAACATAGTTCCTTGAGCAACTAGTGTCTTTTTGTTTGTTTTTGTATCCCCACTGTCTGGCACATAATGGGCAAGAATAATGCTTGAGTTAGTGAATTTGAGATCAAGCTTAGAGGCTGCTTGGCAGAATTTACCCCAAAAAAGTATAGTTAGGGTGCTAGATGTGCTGGGAAATAACACAGAACTGTTTAGTCCCTCAAATAGACTCTTAATAGAAAAAGCATCAAATAATTCAGCAAACATTTACTAAGTACATACTATGTGCAAGCTGTTGTTCTAGTCAGTTGGGATATAAAAATCCAATTCATTGCCTTTATTTTATAAATGTGGAAATTGTGGTCCCCACGACGTTAGATCTAAACACAACTAAGCAATCACCCTGTCTTTTTTTTTTTAAGCAGTTTATCATTAGACAACAGCAATGACATAGAAATGCAGGTATTTTTCTTCTAATTCTTTGAGTAATTTAGTCTTATGAATGTGTGTTAAATACATCTGATTCTGGCTCAGTTCTAGGCGTACAACATGGGCTGAAGAAAGGAAGCTCAACACGGAGACCTTTGGAGTGTCAGGAAGATTTCTTCGAGGCCGTAGCTTCAGGGGTGGCTTTAGAGGTGGAAGAGGCACTGGAACAGCCCGGCGCAACCAAACTTCCCATAGAGCTGGTACTGGGAGAGTTTAAGAGTGTAACTATTTGTAAGTATGGAGGAATGGCTGTTTCTTGCCTAGATACAAATTGGTCTGTTGGGAGAGATTTGTGAAAAATTGAGAATAGACTAGAAGCCTCCTCAAAAGGCATTCAGTAGCAGTGTGTTAAATTTGGCTTATTCCTTTGTCCAGCAAGAGGAAAAATTTTAGGCAAGGATTTCATTTGCCTGTAATTTGGAGTGAAGAGAAAATTTTTTTTTTTTGGACTTGTGATTTCAGTGGTGTAGGAAATTTATTGATATAGAAACTCCATCTTTATGAAGATTGGCAACTCATTTGTCACTGAAAGTTTGAAGTGCATCAAGTGTGAGTTGCTTAGAAACTTGCCCTGGTCACAGCTGGTCTGTGTCAAAGGCAATACTGGAACCCCGGCCTTCTTAATGAAAGAGTAATCCTCCATTCACTATACCACATGATAATGTCCTACTTATTTTGCTAGGTGAGCCTCTTTTCAGAAATGGCCAAATCTAGGAGGCAGTCCAGGGGAAGATATAGCTGTTTTCCTCATGGAGCACGAATACCCAATCTTGGTCACTGTCTTTTCTCTTGCAGGCTAAGTGGCACAAAGGTGATGCTGTGTATATAAGAAAACATTGAAAATGCTGCACTTAATGTGGGGAGAAAATGGGTCATTTTGTTTACTACTTTTTGGAAAATCCCACAGTACTACTGCTTATAGTTTGGACTTCAACTGAACTTGGACTTGGTCTGAGTGAAAACCACTTGTTTTTTGGAAGTGTTCATGGGTAACCTCTTTTGAGGTGTCTTGGTCTCTTTCTCCCTCCCCCTTTTTTTCTTAAAAACATAACCTGATTTTAAACTTTTCTTTTGGTATTTTGCAGAAGGGTTTCTGTATTCTTTTGTGAGGGTTTAACTAAATATCTACCTTTTTTTTTTTTGAGACAATAGCTTTGACTTAATTTTTAGAAGTAGAACCAGATCTCATTAAAAACAAGCCACTTATATTTTTAGTAACCAAACTGACCCTTTGGTGCTGCTGGTCTGTCACTCCCACTTCTAAGAAGCAACATGTTTCAGTAACTCTTGGGTGTCTGGAGACCTGGATGCCTAGTACTAAATGGGGTTTATGAGTACTTGGGGTGGTTTGGGGGTGGGTTGGGAGGGAATACAGGGATTGTCACAAGGATCATGTATAAGCAAACCACAGAGTACCCAGGGTAGGTGTCAAGCCAGAACCCAGAGATGAGTTGTCAGAAGAGGAAGAGTTAAAGGAGACTTCCAAGAGGCCCTGTGAATATTCAAAGCTAAGGGGCCAGGGTAGACTATCATCCCTATGGGAACTGATGGGGGATATAAAACTCAGGGCCAGCCTCCCTAGATAACCTCTTCACCAGCCCTTCTTATTGCTGCCAACCTGTCTCTGGTACATGCTGCTTACCAGTCATGTGTTGGATTTTGGCATAACGCTCTTGAATGCTGTTCTCATCCACTTAGGAATAGGGGGAGGGGGGAGGGGGGAGGGGGGAGAAAAGAGCAACCTGCTATTCAGTGAAGTTGAGTTGGCAAAGGGCATGTTTCCTCCAAATTGTAAATAGTTCCATTGGTTTTTTGTTTGTTTTAAAGGTGGGGTGGAGGGAGGGAGGGGAATATAAATTTGTTGCATGAGTAAATGGGTTACATCTTTAGCATAGGCATGTGCCCCTCTCTGGTTGACAGGGCATTTTGTTGAAATAAGCACCTTGGTAAATGAAAACTCCCTTAAAATAGCTACAAAGGTTTTAGTTATGCATTGACTAAGTTACTGTAAAAGCTTGGGTTTATTTTTGTAGGAGTTAATTGCTAAGAATTAGAAACATAGCAATGGGGCTGCTCTGTTGGAGTACTGTAAATTATAAATAAAACATGCAAATGTTTAATATTTTTTCTTCTTGGCTTTATGTTATGTTTCCTAAGTCATTTGATTGCTATGGGGCAGCTACTGATTTATATGTGGCTTATCTGTTCTACCTGCTTATTAGGCTGTTTCACATTGGTCATTAGTGGTTAAACTGGAGAAGCTATGCTATGAGGAAAGACAAGTTAATTCTGTCTCTTTTGGTACAAGTTATGTTTCTCAACAATAGAGACAAGCTAAAATTCAACCTAAAATGAGACTTGGTTTCTTATTTATCCTCCCTCTTGACCTAGTAGCATGGGTAACACATTTATGCTTGAGGTAGGGAGAAGCAATAATAGTATTGTTTACTTTTTGACAGTGGTTTTTCACTGTTAGGGAACTAATTCCCTCCCCAAACATCCCATTCCATTTTAGTGATTAGCAGCTTTTCCCTTATGTCACACTTCATCTTTTACTCACTGCTCCAGTATGGGCCTTATGGAACTAAGAACAAGAAACTTTTCCCATGACAGCCCTAAATGGCATACTTGCAGATTGGTATCACCTACCTGCATTTTCCTCACCCCTTTTATTCTTTTTAATGTGACTTATAAATACTTTGTAACAAGCATTTTTCTCCTCATTTCTCCTATCCTCAAAACAAACAAAAAAAACCCTTGTAACTAATATGCGTAGTCAAGTAAAACAGATACCCAAATTGACAATGTCCAAAAATTACTCAATTCTGCACCTTGAGGCCATCACCTGTTAGGTGGATGAAATGCCCTCTTTCTTTTTAAGGGTACTGTGGTATATTATGACGAAAATAGATTTGGGGTCAGCTAGGATTCAAATCCAGTGTTTATTACCTGTGACTTTCAGCAAGTCACTTTTCATTTCTTGGCCTCAGGATTCCACATATGTAAAAAGAGGGGTTTTGGTAATATCTTAAGGTTTTCTTTCTAGCTTTAAATTCCATTAGGCTTAACAATCCCTAGTTGTTTGGGTTTAAAAAAAATCTTTATTAACATAGCCATAAGTTTCAAGTTCCCTTCTCAGACAGCTCCTGCTGTAGCTTGTCCTTTCTAACCCATGGTACCCAAAAGTCTAAACAGTATTCTAGACAAAGGCCTGAACAGCCTATTTGAAGCCTGTTCATTTTGTATATTATGAAACATTAATGAAGCCTAAGATAACTAGCTGCTTCTGCTGTCAATCATAGTTGAGTTTCCTAATAAGCAATTAAGCAAATCACTAGCCTGAGATCTCCCAACTAGTTCCATTCTTGAGAGACAAAAGTTCAAGCCCCTCAAAATACTGGCTTTAAGGAAATAGTGAAACAACTGCTAGAACAGGAAGGCGACTTTGGACTTAGCCTCTTTATGTGAGGCCCAGAGAAGCAAATCTTACTAGATCTATGTTAATTGGCTTCAAGAAGCCAATGCTAGAAATCTAGTTGGATAGTTAAGCCTTACTGTTGGGCCTTACCAGGGCTCAATTAAATCACACTGTTAAAAGCAGATATAATCTTAGCATGATATAAAAAAATGTTAGCTCTATCACCTAGGTGTTAAGTGTTGAGATGTTACTTTAGTCATTAATTTGGCATAATTAACATACACCTGAAGGATATAGGCATGAGTTACACAAAAGTACATACTATCTTTTCCCCATTTCCATGGAACTAGGATACCCTTGTTAACTGTATTTTCTTAAAAGATGGCCCACTCTGGGAGAGAGCAATGAGGAAGCCAACAAAAACTTTTTATAATGTGATGGATTTGAATGTGTTTATTTAGTACTGTATCAAAACCAATGAAATCATGTAAATAAGTTGCTAGATTTTTGAGGTGTGCTTTTAAAATTGTCCCTTCTGGGTTTTTTTTTTTTAATAGCTGCTATGGATATTCTCATTCTTTCAACCAAACATTATTGATTAGTAGGAAGACTTGGCTAAGCCTGATAACGATTTTCACATTGCATATGCTTGGTAATAAAATTACAACCATTTGTAATTCTTGTGGCCAAGTGAACAAAAACTCTGATAATCAAGGTGACTTAATTGTTGGAATGGGCACTACTTTTCTCCAGTGCAGACTAAATATATTTAAGCTGGACAGCTTCTCACCTGTGATGTGTTGCAATTCAATTTTAAACATGTCACTCATTCTGGCTGTACCTATGTTAGGCAATCAGGCTATATCACCTCTAACAAAACAATGAATAATTTAGCTGAGCAAGTGAGCCAAATTTGGGATAGTTAAGTTAGTGAGCAGTGGTCAATGAAAAGCTTATAACTGTTTTGTTTCATTTTTTTCCTAACTAGGGAATAGGGTGGGAGGGAGAAAAGCTATGAACCCTTCAAAAACAACATAATGGGTGGCAAAGGTGAGGGTTTTAACAGATTGAGAATTTTGGACAAAGAGCTCCAAATCTTCAGGCGAGACCTAGAGAAGTGAACTAATGTGCCCTGGGGCACAGAATATAAAGCAGCACTAGAACCATGCTCACTTGGTTCATTATCCTCTGTTCTTTGCAAGATGACTTAATTGGAAACTCCTAGTTACCTTTAATGAACTGACAGAAAAAATAGTTTTGAAAACTGGAAAGAAACATTAGTCCAGTGATAGAAATATCAAATTAACTGAACATCTTCCAATAAGTATGGTCTCAATAAATGGTCTGTTTCCTAATAAGGTGGTAACCTATTCGAAGTAAGAGATTCATTGTTGAAAATGCTCAAAAATTCTTTTAAATGCCCAACAGTCTCAGTGAAAATTTAATTTCAAATCTAACTACTAGGCTAGATATGAAAAGTGCTAAAGAAGAGAGCTGCTAGTTAAGTCCACATGCTTATATCATAATGGAAAAAAATCTAGTGTATAGCCTGGCAAATAAAGGGATATATGAGTAATGGTCAGGGAAACTTGTACTAAAGAATGACCATCCAGATATACAATTGCAGAGGTGGTAAAAATTGCATTTTTGTAAACATCTTTTTTCATAAGTCCAAATAATAAACACTGTTTAAGGGGGGAGAAAGGCTTAAAAAATACATAGGTTTATTTTGTAGGTCACTTGGAGGTACAATATGAATAAATGGACTGGAGCTGCCTACTTGTCATTTGTAGAATCACCATGATTTGAATGGATTAAAAACATAGCTAAAGCAACCGGATAGTTGATTCATCATGATGTTTTCTTTTGTTTCTTCTTTTCATTTTCTTCTTTTTCTTTTTCAATTTCAGCCACATACTTTTCAATTTCTTCAGGATTTAAAATCTAACAAAAGAAAGATTCCATCTATTATCATCTTAATAAGTCCTGAGCCCTAAGTCTTGGCCAGAAATCCCTTCCTCCCAATTCTCCATGGAGAAAACTACCACACTAAAGCCAAATTAGAATATCTGTTCCCTTTCATATTTGGAAATGGAAACCTGAGATGCTATGTTGCCCCAACTATTGATCATTTTGCAAGACAGATTTGACTCTCAGCCTATCACTTTAGAAATAAACAAAGTGGGGAAATTTTTTTTTATATCATACCTGAGATCATCAAATATGAACATTAAAGCCCAGACAGGTTAAGTGATGACTTGACTAAGGTCACAGATAGTAACAAAGCCTAGATTCAAACCTAGGCACACTAACTCCAAATTGAGCAACACTCTATATGGCATACCTCAGCCAACTTAACAGCAATCACAAATATTTTATGATAGTATATTATGAAATTATCCACATTTCCTGACTACTTGAATACCTATTTTCAGTTGATTAGAGTCTTTTGTGGTTTTTCTCCACCAGCTGTTTTGTGAAAGCAACTGGCATAGACCTGAACAGTGTATCTATTTAGCCAACTAAGTCAACACAGTGCCCAGAGGGAGGGCTAACAGGCAAGAAAACAAACCCCGCTTTAAAGCTAGGCAGCCCCAACTTTTTAAATACTTTCAGGTCTTTGGGTTAGTAAACAGAAGATTTTGGATGGACCAAAGAAGAAATAGGAAACTCTGGTATTTACCTTAAGAGGCTGATCTCTCCTCATGACAGCTAGTTCAATGTTTTTGCCCCCTGACTGAACCACCTGTAATAGGAATGGAGGGAATAGGGAACAAGGAAAAAGAAAAGAGTGTAAGGACGTTTTTGCTCCGTCTCACCTTCCCTCACTTGTATTCTCTATTCCTCCACAATGACACAAGAATCTAGATGACCCTTATTTAATGTGTGTTGTGTGTCTGTGTTTTTAAGCATGTTTGAACTAAACAGGTATCACTAAGACCCAAAGCAGGAGTTACATGGATAACCAAAATTCACATATTTTCCACAACATTTTTTAAACGTGTTGCTTCCTGTACTAGACAAAAACTGGCTAATATGGAATAAAATGGTTTTTCCTATTCCTTTTTCTGCTAGAGATGATAATTAACAAGGAAATGCCTCTTCCCAAAGGCAATAGCAGAAAGGCTGAGAAGGAACTGTGATGTTTCAAAAAGGAAATATTAATCCCGGCACCGATGGAGAATTGGCTGTACTACATATAAGATAGTAGAAAAGCATGTGTAAGCAATAATTAATGGAATGTTATGGCCTCATATCCTCATAAATGCTCATATGATTGGTAGAGACTATTAAATGATGTTTCTCATGGGCTTAAAAGGAAAAATGGAATCATGGCAGCCTAGTTTTCTAAAGCAAGTTAGAACAAAGAGAAACTTTTTCACTATCAAACTCACTTCCAAAAGGGCCTTGATAACAAGTTTGATGGTCAAATCATCAGTTTCAATGGCTTCATCAGTATAGTTCTTCTCCAAAAATTCACGGACAGACTTGGCTCCTCTACCAATAGCATTAGCCTGAAAGAGACACGTGTCATTCACCACGCTGAAGTTAAATTCGAAAAAACAAAGAAGGAATAAAATATCCAGTAAACACACTTTTAAGTACAATTGGCTAAGATCTTGGGTTCATCCTTGTGTGAGTCAGTTTCAGGGACACGTTTCTACCCCAGGTGCAAAAAAATGGGAAACCACAATGACTAGGAGTGAATAGATCTGTATAGTTACTATGTTATGTAGGTGAAATCACTCTGTCACTAGCCTGGTTTCTTCATCTGTAAAGGGATTAGATAAGATTTCTAAGGTTGCTGCCTAGCAGTGTATTTCCTAACCTAATCTAAACTGAAATGCAAATATGTTCTTGAGGGTTACAGGAGAACCCAGACAAAAATACCAATGCAATTACACTCACTGGAATCAACTCAAAAAGTATGCCCTACTGATGGTGGGGGTCATCGTATATAGAATCATCCTGTTGTTGGACCCTTAGAAATCATCTAGTCCAATGGTGTCAAAACTCAAATAGAAACAGGGCTACTAAACTGTACATCAGGATCCCTGCCGGCTGCATACTGACTTAGAAAACCATATATTAATTAACATCCTCTTTGTTCTATTATATTTTCATTTTGTTAAATATTTCCCAATAATATTTTTAATCTGTTTTGGTCTACATTTGGATCTAAGTCTTACCTCCTCCTCTCCTCTCCCACTCTTATTTTTACAAATGGGGAAACTAAGGCCCACAGAAGACTTTACCAAAGTCACAGAGAAAAATTAGTGGCAAAGCTGTGACTCAAACTTAAGATCATCTGATTCAGTTCAGGGCTCTTTCTGATAATTGTCAATAAACATTAAGCACCTTCGTGCCTGAACTTTGCTAATAAGCCACTAAATCACATTACCTCAATGACAACAAAACCCAGATCAAAACCACTGGTTAACTTTATACCAACTTAGAGAATACAAACTTGTTGAAAACTATTGCGCATTTAGTTGACATCACCCTTAATATTGTTTCATTCTGCTGTTTTCAGGGATTGTGTACTGTGGGGAATTCAACGGGAGTACAGTGAGGGCTGTAATTTTACACATAAAATTTAAAAAATCTATAGCAAGCACTTCTATAATTTAACCCTACAAATGACTAGAATATAAGCTAAAAATTTAACTTTTCTAAGTAGAAAAGTCAGGGGGACTAAAGATATACCTCATTCCACCTGTCAAAGGTACCAGACAGATCAGTGATATCACCTTTACTGGTGGAAAGGAGGGGGAGGGTTTTGGAGAAATGTTTTTCCACCCTACCAAAATTATACTCAGCTATTGTTACTTATAGCCATATCTATCAACAGTGACCTAGTAAGGAGCTTAATAAAGGCAACCACATGCCAGCACTTCTAGAATAACCTGCAATAGAAGGCATCTCTTCAAGACATGAAATTCTAATTTTTCCTGCAAAGAATGTTATTTAAACAGAAAGCTAAAACTCTCTCTTTCCCAGAATACAATAACACAGGTCTGTTATCAAAAAACAAGAAGAAATGAAATTGTAAAATGTTCATCTTCCTTACTACTTTCTACTACTTATGATCTAAGTAACTCAGGGCAAGACACTCACCCTCTCTTTGCCAGTTTCCTCAGCTAGAAGATGAGAGTTGGATAGACTATCACCTAAGCTCCCTTCCAGCTCTAAATCTGCCATAGGATCATATGAGCATTAATACAATATGTTAATTGTATCACAGCCAACTACATTTTTTCACAATTTTCACTGCTACATCATTAGAGGTGTTTTGGGCATATCTTCTAGGTATGTAGTTTTCACAATACAGAGAAAAAAATTTATGATATAGTAGATCATTTTAGTCTTTATTTAACCATTTACTGGTTCAGAATTGAAGGTGCAACAATTGTAAATAGCACTGAGGAAAAAAGACAGAACGCTTTTCATAAGGCTTTGCAGGAGACTATTCTGTATCTTTCCTTTCAGCTAATCACTCACCTTCCATGCATGGTATGTGCCGGAGGGGTCTGTCTGGTAAAGCCTGGGAGTTCCATCAAAGTCAAATCCCACAATAAGGGCAGAGATGCCAAAAGGTCTGCGCCCATTACTCTGCGTGTAACGCTAGTTGGGAGGAAAAATAAAACACATTTGCTTTGCCTTCCTGTCATCACAAAATATTAACATAAAAGAACCCAGCAAAGACCTGAAGGAAATTAAAAAAAAAAAAAAAGGCAAAAATTGCCATTTCAGACACAGGCTCAGTTTACTACAAGTATAGTGAAATGATTTTATGAATTGTGATGGCCATTTTTGAAAATTTGCAGTAGGATGACAAAAGTAAACTGATTGCTTCAGCTCTTATTCTTCCCTGTTTATTCATCTTTCAACTTCATTATAGTACTTGGATTCCTATTAAAGACAAATCCATTGTCTCAGTCATGCAGAAGTACAAGGTGATGGATTTTAAAACGAACATTCTACAAAGATTAGTTTAAAAAAAAAAAGATTCTTGTGTAGAGGAAAGAAGCTTTAAGGGCCAATTATATTTTGCCACAGAAGTAAACAGGTTTCTGTAGTGATTAAGATTATGGTATCTAAGCTTTTGGTTACCTCAGAGTAGTAAAGCATCTGCATTAAGGTCAAAAGCAAACACTTTTGCTTTCAGAAAAAATTGATTAAGCCTGAGTAAAAAAATACATGACATTTTACCAACTTGTAAATGATTAAACTGAAAGTTTAAAATTTTGTCTTTTCTAAGGAGAAAAGTCACAGGATCCTTTAAGACCCTCTACAAAAAAACCAAATGAACTAGACATATACATAATCAGAAGAAACATGCAACAAAAGGGGAAAAAACACCTTTGTTTTCATTTACAAAGTAGTATAATCTATGTTCAAAATCCCCATATAAACTGATCATTGGAGAGAACATTTTCAGTATAGAACTTGGAAACAAACCTGCTTCAGACTAGCGATGTAACGGGTGATATATTCCACCGTGACAGGATCCTCCACAGTGAGCCGATGACTCTGGCACTCTACACGAGCCCTATTTATAACTATTCTAGCATCAGCAGTAAGCCCTACAAGCAGGAGAAAGACACTTTAGTCTGACCCAAATTTTTCATTTGGCTCAATAACAAGAAAATGATATTAGTTTCATCTTTAATCTTTTGCAAAATGTAATCACGATTCTCTGTTATCCTCGTCCAAAACTAGTGCAGCTCAAACTTAGCATCAAAGTCATGCAGAATTACTGAAACTAGTGCTAATCTCACCCCCTTTCCTCTAGAGAAGAAGTATGCAGATTAAAGAAGCAACCCAGAAAGACTGGTTACAAGCTTAATGTCATCTTTTTTTTTTTTTTTTTGGTGAGGCAACTGGGGTTAAGTGACTTGCCCTGGGTCACACAGCTAGTAAGTGTCAAGTGTCTGGTCTGAGATTGGATTTGAACTCAGGTCCTCCTGACTCCAGGGCCAGTGCTCTATCCACTGCACCACCTAGCTGCCCCTTAATGTCATCTTTCACTAGGAACTCAGCTATATACAGAAGCAGAGCAGCACTGCACATAGAGATACACCTGAGTTCACAATCACAAACATTCTTCTGTATGGTAATAACAGGAAGGAAGGAAATAGGCATTTATTAAGCACCTCCATACCAGACATTATACTGAACACTTTATAAATATTATTTCATTTGATCCTCACAACAACTCGGGGAGGTAGGTGCTATTATTATTATGTTACACTTGAGGAAACCGAAGCAAACAGAAGTTGCCAAGGGTCACTAGGCTAATAAGTTTCTGAGTCTGGATTCCACCAATCAATTAACAAACATTTATTAAGTGCCTATGGTGTGCCAGGCACTGTGCTACATAGATCCGAACTCAGGTCTTGCTGATTCCAGGCCCACTGTTCTATCCATTGTGCCACCTAGCTGCCTCTAATAATTGTTCATATCCAAGTCTTCATGACCTCATTTGGGGTTTTCATGGCAAAGACACTGGAGTGATTTGCTATTTCCTTTTTCAACTCATTTTACATGTGAGGAAACTGAGGCAGAGTTAAGTGACTTGTCCAGTGACTAGCCCACACAGCTAATAAGTATCTGAAGCCAGATTCGAATTCAGAAAAATAAATCTTCCCGTCTCCAGACCCAGCACTCTATCCACTTTGCACCTAGCTACCTGCCTCTAAAAATAATGATGATAGTATATGACACTTTAAGATTTAAGATCATTAATTCATTTGATGCTTACAATCACCTGGTGAGGCAGATGCTATCATTACCCCTGTTTTAGAGATGGAAAAACTGAGGCACAGATTGATTAAGTGACTTGCCCAGGGTCACATGGCTAGTAAGTGTTTTGAGACAGGCTTTGAACTCAGGCATTTCTGACTCTTAAGTCCAACACTCTATCCACTGTGCCACTTAATAAATCCCTTTTTGGTGCATTACAGCATACTTTATAATGTACTCTGTGAGTTTTCTAATTAAAGTAACCCTGTTGTGAAGCAAATAATCCCAATCTAATTTCTATTTTGCGTATATTCATCCATTATATTTGCTTAAGTTAAAACAAGTTCTATCACTAACACGAAAGTTAAATTCTCCCCATGAGTATGCTCTGGAAAGACTGACCTGCTTTTTAAATAGTTTGATGACACAGTTGCCGAAGAAAAGTGATTATAAAAAGCTGAAAATAGAAGGCAAGGTACAGCATCCTTATATCCAGAGATGATTTCATGTAGTATAAAAGAAACAGTATTGCTTATGTATTAGCAAGGAAGGCAGCAGCAGCTACTTAATAGACTGTGAGCTCCTTTCTTTGTATTCTCCAGCACTTAACATAGTGCCGGGCATATAATGAGTACATAATAAATGTTTACTGACTAAGAATGAGAGTCACACTCAAATTACAACATGGCCATGCCTTTTTTTCTCTTTAGATCCACAACTAAGTTTCTTTAGATATGTTATTTTACACAATTAGCAAATTTACTTGTCCTGCTGAAGCAAGTCATCCTCAATTTAACCACAAAGCCTTCTTTAAAAAAAATATGGGCAGGAGAACCCGAGTTCAAATGCGGCCTCAGATGCTTGACACTTACTAGCTGTGTGACCCTGGGCAAGTCACTCAACCCCGACTGTCTCACCAAAAAAAAAAAAAAAAAAAATTAAATTAAATTAAAAAAATTAAAAAATATGAAGACACCACAGAACAAGAATGCTTATTGTCTCCTAAGAACCATACCTGCAAATGCCATGCAGACATTGTCATCCAAAGCACAGATCTTCCGCACTGTCCTTTCATCTTGTAGTTTAGCCACTGATTTCTTCTCTACACCAAGAACAACAATATCTTTTCCTCGTACACCAACCTTCAATAAATTCAACAAGTTCGATAAAAATGGTCTCAGGTTGTCATGCCCAATGCAGATCTAAGACCCAGATACCAATGCAGGGCATGCCCTCAGATGGCTGCCTTCCTAGGCCATATGAGTACATCCACAAGGCCCTCACTACTTATCACCCCCCTGGGTATTTAACTTCTTTCCCCATCTTGGGCAAACTGAATATCTGCCACTAAGGTTGGCAACATTTATTTTATGTGGTCTATTTTTTTAAAAATTAGTGTTCTTTCTATTTGCATGTTGTAGTCATTGTGTATACCGTTTTCCTTAGTTTCACTTACTTTACTTAGCATTGGTTTATGTGTCTTCCTATGTGGTGCTATATTCTTCATATTCTTTATTTCATATGACAGTTTATTCTATTATATTCATGTACCACCATTTATTTAGCCATTCCCCAATCAATGTGTATTTCTTTGTTTTCTGTTCTTTGATATTACAAAAAAAAAACGTTGCTATAGATATTTTGGAGAATATTAGGCCTTTCTATCTTTGACCTCCTTGGAGTAATTGCCCAGCATTGGAATCAATGGGCACAGACAATTTAGTCACTTTCTTCACTTAATTCCAAATTTCATTACAGACTGACTGTACCAATTTAACAGTTACACCAACCAAAAATTAGTATGCCCATCTTTCCTTCCAACATTGATTATTCCCATCTTTGCCAATTCTCTGGGTGAAACTTCCGATTATTGTTTTGACTTGCATTTCTCTTAACAGTGATTTGAAGCAACCTTTCATATGGTTAAGTTTGCAATTCTTTTAAGAACTGCTTGTTCATATTCTTTGACCACTTATTCACTGAAAAACTATTTTTACTGTTATATGTGTATGTTAATTCCTTATATATCCTGGGATATCAGACCTATAACAAAGATGTTTGAATGCAAAGATTCCCCCCATTGATGATTTCTCTTATCTTAGTTGTACTGATTGATAAAGCTTTTCAATTTCTTATAATTGAAATTATTTTATCTTTTGTAATAACTTCTATTCCCTTGTTTGCCTACAACTTTTTCTCCCTATCCACAGATGTAAAAAAGACCTGACCAGGTTATCTTCTGATTTTTTAAAGGGTGTGATATTTAATATTCAGGTTGTAGTTCTATTTGACTCTATTATGGCCAGTTGTTGATCTATAACTAATTTCTACCAAATTTCCTTCCAATTTTTCTAGCAGCTCTTGCCAAATAGGGAGTCCTCCCCACTCTACCACCACCACCACCTCCTGTTATCAGGTTTATCAAACACAGGGTTGTTTAGTTCAATTGCTTCTCATCCAAAGGGTCTACTTATAAAACTTTACCAAATATTGATATCTTATATACTAATGACTGGAAGCACCTAATACTTTACTTGCTAAGGGATAATTTCCTAAGTTTCTTCATACTTATAATTAAGAGAAAGAAATGATCCTGAGATGCCTTACCCTATCTGTACTACTTCAGTTTTACTAAGTGCGTTATTTTCTCCAAGGGAGCACTCTCAAGTTAAAAAGCTCTTTAAAATGAAATGATGTCTTAATGGCTACTCCATTTTAAATATTCTTACTATGATATTCAAATAAAATATTCTTAATCCCATTCCTCTGAATATAACCAAATAACCAAATCCTGAAATTAAAAAAAAAAATCATAGTTTGTGCTGCACTGCCACACCCCTATATATACAAACTATATCATGATGTATCAAAAGACTGACAATTATGTTTAATTATTAACATTTTATTTGGGGATCAAATGTTTCCTTTTTATATTTGTATCAGTAAAGAAGATAATTACTGGGGTTTTTACTAACACTTCCATCAACCATTGAAAACTCTAGGAAAAATGTCCCAAATTCAAAACAGAAAGATAAATAAAAATGGGTCCATTACCCAGGCAAATAGACTCAGGAAAAGGCAAAATTGAGTCCTGAAAGTAAAAGTTACTTCCTATTTTAGAATAGTAACTATATCTTGTACATCAAAGACAAGAATTTTTGTCTCACAAGCTGAAAATACTTTCAAAATTCCTACCTCTCTCCACCCCGCTCTCATGAACTAGTACACAAAACCCTAGTTGATGAAGAAAAGCATCACACATTTTGAGGAACACTGAAAACTAGTAAGTGTTTTAGACTTAATGAATCTTATCTCAAAAATGGCACTAATGTAGTTATAGTACAAAATTTCATTGGGCAAAATGAGACACACAATTAGGCACAAAATGAATTATACATGAGAGGCCAACCAGACACTAAGCATCCAGCAGTTAAGGGCTTATTATGGCAGAAAAGTCAGACCCAGGAATGAATAAATTATTAGTCCAAAGCCTGTTCTGGAAACTAGTAACGGTAATGTCTAAATGCCATTCTTTGCTTTATAGTCATCTGTATCTTTGACTATAACTGCTTTCCCTGGCAAAGGAGAAATCAGTAAATTTCAAGGGCTGCCTGTGTTCTGTCCATCTAACTCACTTGCTTAAAAAAAAAAAAAGCCACAATTAAGTCAGAATGTTGGTCTTGAACTGTCCACTTGATTCCTGGACTGGGTCAATGCTAGCTTTTCTCTTTGTACCATCAAGTCCCAGCAACTTTGATAAAACTGTTCCTTTGGAACTCAGATTTCCCAATCTCAAGTGCAAAAGTGAAACCAACAAAGATGGCAAGTTTAGTCAATCTCAGACTATGCTTTGGAAAGGCAATTAACCTGCTTTTGAGAATACTGAAAGCCAACAGAAGGAAAGATAACCTTAATAATTCACAATCATTTTTCTTTAGCTCTTTTAATTCCCTTTCTAAAGCACCATGGAAGACAATTACCAGCAGGTTTTTAAATAAAGTTCACTAATCCTCAGATACGACAATGGTAGGTAGCCTCGTTATCTAAGCCAAGTGAGTAGGAAAGACCATAAAAACGAAAGCAAATTTATTTGGTCTTGTTTTTCCCAATTGCTCCCAATTCCATTTTCAATTAGAATACCTTGTTTTACGCCTCCAACTAAAACGAAATCAATTTTCAGTCTTCAGACTTTTTAGGAAAGTGGATTTTCCTAATAAATCGGTAGGTCACATAATTGACTTAGTTCTTTCTTTTCTTCAACAGACCAACATCAAGAAAATTTCCCCACATCCTAAAGCAATTCCAAAGTGGTGTTTCGAAACACAGCTTATGAAAATCCAACCTACAACAAAGCAACACTTACACTGACTCAAAGGAGGGGACTCCTAGTACCTTGGTATAGGAACTATGCGCATTCGAATTAAGACAGAAACACTTTCAATAACAAGATACTTATATTCCCCTTCTTAAATGGCAAGCTGCTTCAGGGTAGCAATTACGACTTTTCATTGTATCTTCAGTGCCAGCCCAGTGACTTAAGTGTTTTTTTAAGTGCAAATAACATTTCCCACTTATTGGCAAAAATGGAATATATATTCCATTTGCAACCATCAAGTGATGGAATACACAGCATTAATATCCCAAAAGTGAGAGAAAAAACAGGTATCCCAGAACTGAATTAGTTGACAGAATTTTACATTTCTACTAAGATCAAACACCATCTCTTCCAGTGGCCTTTGGCAAACCATGTATCTATTTTCTCTTTCAGTTTCCATAAATCACGTGAACTCAAAACCCTAAACGCAAAAAAATTTTAAACATTAAATTGGGGATGGGTGGGTGTCACAATTAGTTTCAAAGTACATCTAGAAGAAGACTCCAGTTAGACATCTCATAAAACATACACAAATGTATCGAAATGACTTTTAAAGGTATTTCTGAGGGCAATTGCATGTTTGTGGGATTCTTTGTCTGCCGCAACAGTCAGGGAGTTCTGTTACAGAATCCACACATCAGAGCTATTAGGTGGGTTTTCCCCGCTCCAGGCGCTTCTCCCGATGGAGTCAGCAAAGCGGTGGGGTGCCGTGCAGCCTCCTCGGAGGCCGTGCCCAGTCCCCCCGCCGAGGCCTACCTCACCCGCCGCGGCCCAACACAACCCGGAGCCCCGCGCTCCCCTTAACGCCCAGGACACGCGCCCTTCTCTTTAGAGAAAAATGTCATAAACACCTCTGGCGACAGAGGCCCCGCCAGGACCGGCCTCCTTGGGGCTGAATCCCGGAAGGCTCGTCCAGCCTCGGGCCCGGGGCCCGAGGCCCGAGACCTGAGGCCCGAGGCCCGGGGCCTGCGGCCCGCCCGGCGAACGGCCATGTGCAGCGCTATTCCCAGACGCCAGATCTCCAGACACCGGAAGGTCACTAGGCTCGCCAGGCGGTCGGCTCGGGCTCGGGCCCGGGCCCGGGTCCGGCTCACAGCCGCGGCCGCCGTCCCCCTTCTCTCGCCCTCGCTTCGCAGGCCTCCCGCCCTCCCCTCCCGTCCCCTTCTTCTCCGGCCCCCGGCGTCCCCGCGACCCAGGCCTGCTCCCGCTCCCGCTCCTCACCGCGGTCGAGCCCTTTTTCACCGCTTCCTGCGCGTATTCCACCTGGAAGAGGTGCCCGTCCGGGGAGAAGACCGTGATGGCCCGATCGTAACTCATCTCCCTCGGGGAGGCGGGAGCCGCCGGCTCCGGAGGATGGAGGGAAGAAGGGAAAGAAAGGGAGGGAGAAAGGGAGGGGAAAGAAGGGGCGCTGGGGCCTGGCTCGGGTTGGGAGGGGTGAGAAGACTACCACAGAGAGCCAACAGCCAACGGCCACCAACTGCTCTCCCGGCTCTGAGCTTCCGACCTAACGCCAACCGAAGAGAGACTCAAAAGCGCACACTCATCGCCAGGCGCAGCGCTGCGGCGCTCACGATTCACAGCGGCGTCTGCGACTGGCTTCCCCGCCGAGCCCCACTTGCCCCAGCTGGCCTTTCCGTACGCACTTGGCGTAAGGCAGCCCGAGAGCGTAAGGGGCCGTGCGCCAGCGACGGGATCTGGAACGTACTATTGACCGTCCAGAGAGAGGGGAGCACCCTGTGGCTTTGGGGCCTTCTGGAGCAGTTCTTCTACTTCTTGCTCTCGGTAACGGAGACCTTACTCAGTTGAATGAACTTCGTGGGTGGGATTCGCAACGTTTGTTGTTGTTGGAGGGTGAGTCTGAGCCGGAGGATGGGCGAGTCCACTTCCTTATCTCCCCTTAATGTGCCCTCCCCCCCCCCCACCCCCCCATTGACTGCGGAGAATGAGAAACCTTTGGACAGGGAGAGGAGCCAGATAATAAACCCCAATGATTAAAGATTGAGACCCGCTGAGAGAAACATGTCGGTGGCCTTTGCATCTGCCCGTCCTAGAGGCAAAGGGGAGGTCACTCAGCAAACTATCCAGAAGGTAAAAGCCTGAAGGGGTAGGGGGAGCAACCCCCAAAACCCTCGTAGCCCGGTGGGGGTGGGGGGGAACTGAATTTTGAGGTGCTAATGAACGTACAATGGCAGGGGAGAGAGAGAACTATTGAATTTCGAGGATAGAAAAGATGGACAACTAGAGGGAGGCGGTGGAACAAAGCAAGGTGTGCAGATCGGTGCAAACCGGCGAGCCACCTTGGGAACTATTGCAACCAGTCATTGAATCCTGACAGGGGTTTGCTGCCGGGTCCTGCATCCCCATTCTTGCAGCCGAGCAACTATTGCATCCAATTATTGCAGCTGGGCAACTATTGCAGTTATATGCAAGCAGGCGTCACGCATTGCAATGGGTAATGTGAACAGATACACGCGCGCACGCACACACGCCTCTGTGGCAGTATCTGCACGGGGACAACGTTGTTGCTATTCTTGTCATTTCTTTGTGGAAAAGAAGCAGAGCTGCTTCAGTCCCCCGGCAAGTTTGTTTTCGTGCTTTCTACCCCTTTAAACTGGGGGAATGCATTGGAAACTCAGCCTTGTAAGGCGCTGTCAGTACTAGCAGGTGTGATTAATACTGTCTGAGTCAAATGCACTGCGGGGGGTTGGAAATCCCAGGCGGGGGGCGATGCTTTTCTGGAAATCGGGGGGGGGTATTAAAATTTTTTTCTTAACGATGGGTAGTCGCAGGTTTTTTCTTTTTAATTTTGGGCCAGGATTCCTTCGTGAAGCCCCGAGTGAGCTGTGCAGTGCAGTTGGGAAGTTGGCCGGAGGCAAAGACGGTCGCAGCTCGTGGTTCTCTTTCTTCCGAGAGCCTTGTAAATGATGCAAGGTGCTGAGCATTTCTGGTCCACCGAGCTGTTTTTCTTAAATTAGATAATGCTAGTGGGTTCACCCTCTCATCTCCCCAGGATGTCTGGGGTTCTACGATCTGGCAGCACCCCCTCAGCCCTTGCAGGATGGGGATGGGGACTCTGGAGGGAAATAAAAATCTCGTTTCCGAACCGAGACCCCAAGCCATTTGTCAGTTATAATGGCGAATGCGAAAAGGTGTCTGTGTTAAGAGAGCAGCCAGCGAGCTGCTCCTGAGAGTCTTCTAGCCAAGGCAAACCAACCATCTCTGTAGCCTATTGACGGCCCCGAGCACCGGATCCTCCCCTCCCGTTGAGCGATTGGGACCGGTAGCTCAGCAGGCTGGTAGGCTGACTCTCCAGCTCAGGTACTTCCCTGAAACAGATGGAAGGATGGATGGATGGATGGATGGATGGATGGATGGATGGATGGATGGACGGACAGACAGAGGCAATACCTTATAATTTTTCCTTGTAATTTCTCCTTCGAGTGCAAAGGTATCAGTGCAGGTGTGTGGGAAGGCAGGATTGAACTTTATCTCCCCCAAACTCCAACCTTGGGTTGAAATTCGTGGCTGAAATACAAAGCCACAAAGACTTGAGGCTAAGAAAGGGATATGAGTATTTTAAATCTTGGAGCTTTCTACAAAGAAAACCTGGGATAAACGTAGCATACTGTCTTGTATGTATGTGTTTGTAAATGCATCACCAATGCATATTCCTATTTTAAATTGTTTTATTACATTCAGTTTCCTACCTCCTTATTTGGCAAAAACTTTCTGAATTTTGGTTCCAAGTTTGACATTATTTCTTGGAGTCGAATTAAAATGGATTTTGTCATCCTTTTAAAAGTCTTTAAAATAAAATTTATTTCTCAAAATTGCAACTTTTTACTTTTATGGTTATTTGACAGGGTTTGCAATTCAGAAAAAAATGATGTTATTGATTATTACATTTCTACTATTGTTGAATGTATGTTGTAAATGTGATGTTAGGGCGAAAAAAAACCACAAAGAAAATATTGCAATGTTAGTGCCATTCCTCGTTGCATCTCCACCGTCCTAGCAATGGCAATAGGTTTTTCTTGAAACGGAATGCTTGATTCATAATATCTGCTTACCTGTGGGGAGAGGGAAGAGTGTTAAAAAGGCTGGCATATGAGTAAGAAGATGTGAGTCCAAGTCTAGGCTCTGCTAATGTGGGGTCTTGGGAAAGTCACTTAATTTAGTTGAATTAAATAAACAATAATAATGGGACTGACTATAATGGGATGTCAATTTTTATCAGTTTTTACAAAGCATTTCACATACTCTAATTATTCCTCACATCAACCTGGTGAGATAGGTACAATATCATCTACTCTTACAGTTTTGAGGAAATTAAGGATCAGAGAAGTTTGTGATTTGCCTATGGCTTCCTTTAAACTAAAGTCACAAGAAACTTTTCCCCAGTCCTTTTTAATCTTCTAAGATGACCTCCAAGTTATTATATATATACACATATATATATATATCTTCTTTGTGTATAGTTGTCTGTATGTCTTCTCCCCCACTAGATTGTAGGCTCCTTGAGAGCTGGGACTCTTTTTTTCCCTTCTTTGTATCCTCAGTGATTAGCACAGTGCCTGGCACATATTAGGCACCTAGTAAATGCTTCTCGACTGACTAACTGTGATTATACCAGTAAATATGGGCCAGAAATGGCACCGGAACCCAAGTCTTTCCTGATTCCGAGTCCAGTTCTTTTTCTAGCACACTACACTGTCTAGAATATTGTGCCTCAGGATGAGAGGGATATGCTTTGGCTAAGACTCTATCTCAGTCATCATGGAGTTTATTTAACTTACTCTTATGAGCAGTTTTAGGTTCCTCAGCTGTTAAATGGTGAGAAGAATACTTGTCCTACTTACTTCTCAGGGTTATTGGGAGGAAAACCTTGTTAGAAAGTCAACCCTGAAGTGCTACAAGATGCAAGTAGTGGTAATAGAATTGATTTTTTTTAACTGAAAGTGGACAATATTTCTTATTAATTTGCTTTTTATATTCGTGGAAACATTTAGCAATCCTTCACATAGACTGCTGTGACATGATACATTATTTATACCTTGTTCCTCGAACTTAATAATTTGTTTTTGTACTGTAGACCTAGAGCCTCAGAGGACTTAGAACACAAGAGACTGAAGAATTTGTCAAATTTGATTGAGGAGACCCAAAAAGTGATGTGTTTAGAATAGCACATTGCTTAAAATGTTGGGAAAGCAGTTTCTCAACAGGACTTTTGTTTGGTCTTTGACAAATTTGATTTTGTAGAAAAGTTAAACTGTAGACACAGGCATATATAGGAAATATGAAAGGTACCCACGTCTGGCAAGTCAGATGTGATGACAGATCATTGAATTCCTAATTCTTTGTTGTTGCTGTTGTTTTAACTTCCTGCGTATAATACGCATAGTTATTTATTCCTGAATCCACCTTTAATTTCAACATGCAAACCTGGGCTTCCTAATTCTACCTTGTTCACAGACCATGTTAAAACCCACCCAGTGATCCTGGCCTGAAAGAGATCTGGACATCTAAATATATAGGTGTGGTCTGAAGGAATCAGAGCCAAAATGAATTACTCTGTAGGCTTCTCATAAAATAACACATGTTACTACAGAAAAGAAAAGAAAAATTCTGAAGTGAGGTGAAGCTGCTGAATAGCCTACACTGGCTTAACTTGATATTGGCAGAAATCCCCTAGCTTCACGTAGCAGAAGCATGACACTAGAACAGTGAATGAATGAATGAATGATGAATGTGTGTATGTGTATGCTGGGGCCAGGAGCATCTTAATCTCTGGGGAGAAGAGTGGTAGGGGTATACAGATTGCTCTAATAGGGTCCGGCTCAGAAACTAAGAAATTACCTGGCATGATGAAACCGGAGAAAGTCTTCGCTCTTTGTGGCCTATTTGTTGAGCACATGCTAAGGAAAGGTGAGGAATGGACCCAATTCATCCTTTATATCCCACATGTCCTTCATCAAAATTCAAGTCCTGGCAAAGTGGCCTAAAGCAAAATTTCCTCCCTAAGCTTCAGTTTCCTATCTATAAAATAGGTATAATAATACTTGCCTGATTACACTGGGGTTCTTTGTATTATAAAAGCCTAGTACAGAAGTGGGGAACCTACTGCCTCAAGCCACTCATGGTTCTCTAAGTCCTCAACTGAAGCCCTTTGACTAAATCCAAACTTCACAGAACAAATCCCCCTAATAAAAGGATTTGTTCTGTAAAACTTGGACTCAGTCAAAAGACTGCACCAAAGGACCTAGAAGGCCACATGTGGGCCCGAGGCTGAAGGTTCCACACCCCTATCCTAGCATTTAGAGCTGAGAGAGATCTTAGAGGTCATCTAGTAGAACACTATTATTTTGCAGATGAGGAAACTGAGGTCTCTAGAGATTAAGTAGCACCTGGTAGCTAGGTGGAAATGTGGATAGAGTGCTAGGCCTGGGGTCAGGAAGGTCTAAGTTCAAATTTGGCCTTACACACTAACTGTATGACCTGGGTAAATCATTTATCACTGTCTGCCTCAGTTTTTTCAACTGTAAAATGAGGATCATAATACCTTCTACCTTCCAGATTGTAGTGAAGCTCAAATGAAATAATATTTGTAAAGCACTTAGCACACTGCCTGGCACATTGTAGGTGCTTAGTAAATGCTTATTCCTTTCTTCTTCCCTTAAATGACTTGTCCAATGTCACACAAGCTGTAAGGATCAAATGAGATGTGGGATGTTAAAGTATCTTAAAGTAGAAAATGCTATTCGAATATAATATATAAATAAATATAATAATATAAATATAATATATATGTATTATATAAAATTATATATATAAATATAAATATATAATAATATAATAAAATATAAGGGGGAATTATTATTGAGCACTTACTACCTGGGGCTACTAGATGGTATAGAAGTCTCTGGAGAAATAGAAAGATAGTATGTGGTTGTTCTCCTTAAGCGAGGAGAGGAAAATAGACCTATATACCAAAGGTACCTAACATGCCAACATATGAGAAGACCATGATGATTGTTGCAGATCATATAAAGACATTAGTATAGATGGAAATAGGGAAATTTTCATGGAGG